AAAATTTTATACATATTATCAATGAATCACACTCTACACATTCTTTATGTGATGATATACATGTGAGCTAGCAACTGTATTTCTGAAACCATAAAGAAATACATGAAAATACGCAAGAAAAACCCTAAAAATACATGTATATAGGGTTTTGTATGTATTTTCACATCCATAAAAGTATCAAACATGTAAAATAAATACACCACATTGCAGAGCATCTCAATAAGAACACATCGGTACTGGGAACACTCCAAAAGGAGCCCGGGCGCACCTTCACTCGCCACCTGAGTGCGCGGCGCATGTGGTGCACATTCAGCTGGTCTAAATCGACTCGAATTGCTGGTTTGACCGACTTGACCGATCCATTCATCGGTTTGACCATTTAACCGGTACGGTCTGGGTAATTGGTCCGACCGGTTTGACCGGTCAACGGTCAACTCTGGTCGAGCATTCGGGTTAAGCCCCGAGTCGGGTCGCCCAACCCTATTGACCGGGTCAACTCGCATCAGCGGGTCGCTAACGTCATGCACAATGTCAGTCCAGCGCGTGCATGCTGGAACGCTCTGCGCATGACGACACGTGCTCAACGCACGCCGCCGCCCTGTGGCCATGGCCGCTCGTGGGTGCGCATGCGGCATCCCCAAGTGGTGCGCTGCTTATCAAAATGCTCATTTCAACGAGCGCTATCCATTTATGTGATCAAAAATAATTTTTAACAGATAGAAAATTTCAAAACAGGTAAAATCCGTACGTTCGAGTTATAGGCAATGTCTACTTAGATACCATATGTAGGCCGCAAATGGCAAAGATATCCATAGTTAGAAACTAGAACACATATAATCAAGTAAAAGAGATTTGCGCCCTTAATTTGGAATCCATCGTTCTTGATGCGGAATAACAACGATCCTCAAACTCAAGCGCTTCTCCTCTAATGCCATTTGTATCACTGGCTCAATGAGACTGCCCCTCATGTAATTGCTCCTTATGTGAGGATATTGTGTGTATCAAGGTTAGAGGAAAGACTTGACAACTATTTATAGAGATTTAAATCACAAGCCTTCTCATCACAGGCCGAGCTTTACTCAGCCCACACAAGCCAATTCCATATTAGTCTAATTAAAAATCTTCATATCTTACCTTATTAGACCAATCCTGTAAAACGGTAAATATCAATTTCAATTAATTTAGCCCACATCAGAAAACTCCTACTGAAAAAGCATGTTTGACACTAATTTCTGCCATTAAATGTTGGACTTTTGGCCAAAATGTCCACAGTTTTGCGGTCCCACTTTCGAAGATATATAGTTTACTGGCGAGATTGGCACATGAGCAATCTTTTGGCAGTTTACTTCAGTAATTATTGTTGCAAAAAACAAGTAATCAAACTAAAAAATAGAACAATGAATCATATTGGACACCAGATTTACATGATTTGTGTCGTTGGGACCTACTCCATGAAGAGAGCTACACAAATTCCACTATAAATCAATCGATATAGCAGAAATTACAACTACACTCGAGTCATACAATTGCTCTTAATTTTTCCCATACCCCATTACACCCAATTACTCATACATTTTTTAGCCCTCACAATTCCTAATAAAATAATCTTTCAATCTCAAAAATAAATTACATATATCTCACCACAAGATTTGTTAGCTTGAATACATGTCTCTTGGATGCAATTCACATGTTAGAATATTTAAATGATAAACAACACATTCATCTAACAGCTTAAACATTTAGAATAGTTGGTAATAATCCTACTAAAATCTCACATGATATCAGAGTTAGAGATCCTGAGTTCGAATCTTTCCAAGCCTTATTTGCCGTTCCAATTAAATTTTCCACACTTACTACTAGGCAAAAAGACCATATTAAGCATGAGGGAGAGTATTAGAATATTTAAATTATAAACCACGCCTTTATCTAATAACTTAAACTTTTAAAACAGTTGGCAATCATGGCACACTTCAACAATGGCTTGGATTTGTGCCCTTTTTTTAATCAACCAAGAAGGCATTAAAGACTAAACCACGAATATATATTTGTACCGAACACCAGAGAAATCCTAAATTGCATTGGTCAAAGAAGACCACACTCAATTGGAGAATCCACAAAGACTTTCCCTTTTTGTTGTTTTCTTCACCGTCTTCGATCAGGAAGTTGATTTCCGTGTATCCCAAAAACCAGACTTGTATCCAATATAATTTCCTAGTTGACTTTCATTCTTGATAGCGACTCAAATTCAGACTTACACAAAATTCAACTAGGGCTAGGTTGGTTTGGCGGGCTCATTTCAACAAGAGTTAATACCACAAAAAATCCTAAATACCTGTGAATTTTGTGATAAATTTACTCCAAACTAATTTTTTGACCATAAAAAATCCCAAACTGGTACATTTGTGATAAATTTATCCCAAACTAATTCTTTGACCGCAAAAAACCTCAAACTGATACATTTGTGACAAATTTACCCTTCGTTAAATTTGATTAATACCACGAAAAATAAAAAATTGTTACACCTGTGACAAATGGAGGTTTAAAACCCCGAATCAATACACCCGTCAACTACCACGTGTCATTTAACTCAGAAATTTGATGGTAAAATTTAACGGAAACTGATGAAGGGTAAATTTGTCATGGATGTACTAGTTTGGGGTTTTTAGTGATCAAAAAATTAGTTTGGGGTAAATTTGTCACAAATATATCAGTTTGGGGTTTTTCGTAGTATTAACTCTTTTGACAATCTTAATTTAACTCGACATTTTAATCAAGTCATAATAGCGTAGCTGAAATCTGAACTTTACTTCTATGCTTACAACCCCTCATGAGCTTTATTGTCGTAGACTTTTTCCAATTCTAAGTCACACTTAAACTTCATCATAATCGTGGACTTATGGTAGACAATGTTACCTAACCATACTTTCTCGAGAGTCCGACATCTAATCTTAGTTGATGAAAATCTATTCACCATATAGCTTGTTGTTCTAAACACATCCACTAGGAATCTTCTAGCTATATCAATACTAGAGAGCATTTTATGAGCCGTTTCTAGTAATGTTTTGCTCATCAACTCTACAACCTAATGTGGCTCATTAGCACTTGCGCAATGTCACATTATAACTTTCTTTATGCTGAATTCATTTAATAGCTCCTAGCAACTCCATGCTACTATCAGTCCACACATGCTTGATTGTATTACCAGTATCATTTTCTATCAAAACTCTCAATAGTTTGAACTTGACAATTTAGTATCAAACTTGTTTAGCAGTGGCGAGTACTCATCCACAACTGTTATCATTAATCTGACACTCTTCCTCAAAGGAAATCGTGACAACTTGCGAACATCCAAGTGCATTAATTCTACAATCTCCGTGATTTCTCTAACAATTGTACTTTCCACCATTTTTCTTAGTCATACCACTTGCATACATTCAGCTTCTTAGCTAAAGAACCATACAATAGATTTCTTTCACTCAAAAAGCTTCAAACTTCTCTCACCAGTATACCCCAAATGCATGTGCCACAATCTAGATTCTCTGACAAATGCATCCGACGTCTTAGTGGTGAAATCTGTCTCTGTCTTTCCTTGAAGCTCATGCAGAACACTATACTTATTTCCTTTCATTATTACCAAGGCACCTCAAATGACCTTCATAACTTCACCTTCTAAAGTATACCAACACTCAACTGAATCCAGGGCACTAAAGGAAATTATATTTTTCTTCAATTCTAGAACATGACTCACTCTAGTGAATGTCCTCACAATATTGTCATGCAATTTGATTTTGATATCGCCAAAACCCACAACATCGTACACAGCGTTGTTTCCCGACTACACTTTTACCAATATCCATAAATTGATAAGTTATAAACTATTTCTTGTTTGGCATTGTGTGAAACGAACAACCAGAATCAATACTCCATCATTCAAACGATGAATCCTTAGTGACAAGCAAGTGAGAAGGTTGTTTCAATTGATACTAATACTGACGAATTGTCAAAGGAGATTGACGATGTGAATGGTCATGACAATCAACTGGGTCTGTTGGAGTACGAGGAGGGGCCAGTAAGAGGGTCAGTTTCAATTTATTCTCCATTTGGGTAATCGAACCACGCGGAGGTTCGAAATCGCAATCATCTGATGCGAAGACGAGCGAGTTGAGAACGATTGACGATTCCTCGGTGGATCAATTGAAGAATAGGGAGAAATCTACAAAGAGTGTCAAGAACTGTGAGTTCATTGCTGATATTTGTCAGATGCGTCGCTCTATCACTCCATCGTTGGAAATCATAATCGTCTAATGCGAACACGAGCGAGTTGAGAACGATTGACCATTCCTTGGTGGATCAATTGGGGACTAGGAGACATCTGCAAAGAGTGTCAAGAATTGTGGGTTCATCGTTGATATTTGTCAGATGCGTCACTCCATCACTCCATCGTTGGAAATCACAATCGTCTGATGCGAACACGAGCGAGCTGAGAACGATTGACGATTCCTTGGTGGATCAATTGGAGACAGGGAGACATTTGCAAAGAGTGTCGAGAATTGTGGGTTCATTGCTGATATTTATCAGCATGCTAATTTTTCTTCAAGAATTCGAAAACCACATAGTTAGGCTATAATCATCTTATTTTATCGGTAAGATATCAAGCACATTGGTTATAAGTAATGCGATCATTCTTCTTGAATTGGGGGCTCCTAGAGGCTAGGAGTAATAATATGCGACATTCATGTTTGATGAGAAAATAAACAATTTTACATCGAGTAGTTCTCAGGTTGGAGTAACTAAATTTTATTCCTGAAGGTCTTTTCCCCCCTTTTTGGAGCCTTTGTAGTTGATATTTGACAATGCATGCTTGTGTTGAAGCACTATATCAAATTGTGTATGAATTTGTTCTCAATGGTTAACCTAGAAGGATAATTCGGCAGAGAAGGAAAAAGAAAAAAAAATCATGCTTAATCAATGTCGTTTTGGTACAGTTGCATTTGCCCGCGATGGCCAACTGGACAAATTTTCTGGAAATTTGGAAACAAGAGATTTTAACTGTTTTAAGTGATAATAACGTGAAAACAGTTGTCCTTTTTGGAGAAGCTAAAACATGGATGGCAAAAGAGATTGCTAATTCTGCCAGCCTCAAGGGCTCCTCCTATGGAACTATTTGGGTGGTCCCAGGATATTATTATGAAGGCAAATCTCTTGTTGAAAATATTGACTTTCAGCTGTCTGTATTTCCTTCTAATGAGGAGTGGGAGGAAGATGATGATTCTGATGTGGAGCAGCAGGAGCAAGAAGTGGACTTGGATCTGAAACGGGGAATACTGAAAAAGCTTGAGTTGATGAAAACTGCCGCTGGAAAAGATCCATATCTTCTCGTAGTTCTGGATGATGTTATTGACATGGACCAAAACAAAATTCTTCTTGATTTAAGTGACCTCCTCCAGGGGCACCTGCTTAAGGTTTTAATCACAAGAAGGGGAAGTGATATCGGTATTGGCAATGAGGGAAATGCGGATACAGTTCGGACAGACAATGTAAGATCATATGAAATCAAATTCCTGTCTCCTGTCGAATCTTCGGATTTACTGCAGAATAGGGTCAAGGTGGAAGTTTCTAGGGCAAATGGGTTTGAAAGACTGTCTGCAGCTATTGGAAAAAGTAGCTCAGGTCATCCTGGCGCAATTATTATGATCGCAAAAGCCATGAATAATGTTAACACCTCTGAGTTGGACAATGCAGTTGAAGAAGCGGCCTCTATAATTGAATCTGCTGATATTGAAACATTATTGCAGCATGTTTATAAAATGTTGCCAAGTACCCTCAATAAGTGCTGTTGGCACTGCAGATACTTGTTTCTCCATCATGATAGCATCCACTACAATGAGCTGATAGCTCACTGGTTACTGGAAGGGTATTTTGATCATCATGATAATATTGAGAAGGCCTATGAGGAAGCACATCGCACTCTGATGGAGCTCAAAAATCGCGGAATTCTTAGAGGAAAAGAGAATAGTTATGTTTATATGGAAAGTGATGCTTTGGGAGTCGATGATCACCGACGCGATGGACTCAGCGGGTCTGCATATGTTGGCGTGGCTAGTGTGCTGAATGACCAAACTTGGGCTGGTCTTGGGAGGATTATACAGACTGATGGGATGATAAAGACGAGTAGTAAGAAAAGGAACGAGATGTCCACGCTATTTATAGATGGTGCTCGTTTTTGCAGGGAAGTCCCTGAAACATTTTTCCAACACATACAACGACTTAAAGTCCTGGTCATCTTAAATCCGATGTTCAAAAGGGTGCCCTCACCACTTTCAAAAATGAAGGAGCTTCAAGTACTTGTTCTGAGGGGCTGTCGTCTATTGGAGAGTGTAGATGAGATCCATGAACTTACGAACTTACTAGCTCTTGAGATATCTGGGGCTTGTTTTGTGAAGGAAATCCATGACGATCTTTTCAAGCTTATGAAAGATCTTAGATCTCTGAACTTATCTGAAGTTGGCATTAAGCGGCTTCCTGCTTCTGTCTTAAATCTGGGCGAACTCCGTTGGCTCATTCTTAGAAACTGTCCAAATTTGGAACAATTGTGTGATGTTTATTTATTGAAGAAAAAGGAAGCATTAAATCAGGAAGTGCTTTCATTGGCAAAGCTGGAAGTGCTTGATTTCTCTGGTTCAGACTCTTTCCAAAGAATCCAGGTCAAGACCCTCTCTCCGCTCAAAAAACTTCAAATTCTCAATCTTTCTAAGACCAGCATTAGGCGCATGCCCTTCTTTCACGATTTAAGAGAGCTCACTCGACTCCTCTTAAGTGACTGTCCATCCCTTGCAAGACTTCCCACCTTAAGACCACTACTTAAACTTCAGATTCTCGATCTTGCGAAGACAACATCTTTGAAAGAAGTGCAAGATGATTCTCAGAAAACTAAGACTGACTTTAGAGTTCTGGATCTCACGGGTAGTGCTGTAAATAAGCTACCTTGCAACATCAGCAGCTTATCTTATCTTCTTTTGAGTGGCTGTGTAGAGCTTCCAAAATTGCCATCCACGCAAAACCTCCGAGGCCTTGAGGAGCTGAACCTTTCTGATGCCTCTATATTGGAAGAATTCGAAGATGACTCATTTGAACATCTTAATTCCCTTCGCCGACTCATCCTCTCAAATACTAGAATCAAAGCTCTGCCATCACTTTCCGAGCTTTCTGAACTTCGTTTGCTCTTGCTAAAGAATTGTAAATTCCTTACTAAGTTGCAAAACTTGAGTATACTCAAGAAACTAGAAGTTGTTAATCTCTCGGGATGCTCTGAGTTGGTGATAGCATGGAATGACTCCTTCCAGGCAATGTCTCACCTGAAGACGATCAATCTGTCAGAGACTAAAATCAAAAGCCTTCCTCCAGATTTCTTCCCTGTCAGCCTCCATCACCTAATAATAAGAAATTGCCCCGAATGGAATGACCTTCCTTCCTTGGAAGCTCTGGTGAACCTGGAGGTACTCGACCTCTGTGGTGCAAAATATTTGATCGATATAAAACTTGAATTTCTTAGCCATATGAGCAAACTAAGGATTCTGAACCTCTCTGAAATAGAATTTGAACAATTGCCATCTCTGTCCCACCTCACTAACCTTAGGGAGCTCTCTCTGAGAGGTTGTTCCTGTAAAGTGTCGAAGCTGGATGCCCTAAAGGAGCTTGAGCTGCTGGATCTATCGGGGACCAAGGTTAGGTCTTTACCTACCCTTGAGATTTTTAGCAAGCTCCAACAACTACTGCTAAGAGATTGTGCTGATCTCGAAAGTTTGGTAAATTTGAAGTCTCTTACTGAATTGGAGGTTCTGGATCTTTCAGGGACAAAAATAAAAGAATTTCCCTATGAAACCTCGGATCTGACTAGTCTAAGGAAGCTCAATCTGCGGGATATGAAGCATATTAAAGAAATTGACTGGACGAAGATAAAGTGTATTCCAGAGGAGTTCAACTTGGGTGGTTGTGGATCCCTAAGTTCTGAGATTGCCGCATCTTCTGACTGGCCTTCCATAAAGATATGTGGTACCAGATTTTTCCAGTTCGTGGAGAAAAATCTCTTGTTGAGGAATACATGCTTCCAAAAATTCCATTTTTCTGTTTGGCTTCCCAAAAATTCAGATGGAAGGATATACAACCTCGGAGACAGGGGCCTACTGATGGATATCAAATCTCAAGGAAGAATTCCTCATCATAAAGAACTAGAGCGGTATCTGGAGATCCATGGATCCTGTTGCATTTCCAGTATACCTGAACATGTTCTCGAGCATGCTGATCACATATCGTTGATGGATGATAGCTCTTTTAGTCACTTATCTGAACTTGTTAAAGAGAATCTGAGATCAATAAGGAGCTGTTGGCTTGATAGGTGCACAAATATCCGTAGTATAGTCACTGGAGAAGAAGATGCCAGAGTTTCAGGAAAGCTTGACTTTCTTTATCTGTGTAATCTCTCTTCCTTAAGACGCATGTGTGATGATACAGTGCAGTCCGAGGTCTTTGAAGGTCTTAAGAGCTTGTATATAGATTGTTGCCCGATGCTCGCTGACATTTTCCCGTTGTCCAAGCTGCCAAAGAAGCTCGAAACCCTCCAAATCAAATTTTGTGAGAAAATGGAAAAGCTATTCAACCCTGATATGTCCGCAGAATGTAACTTGCAGACCTTGGATCTTCTGGAATTACCAAAGCTCGAGAGAATCGGGGTTATGATGGTCTCCCTGCGAGTATTGAAAGTGAGAAAATGTCAGAATCTGGAGAATCTAGATGAAGTGCTTGGAGAAGCTGAAAATCTGGAAATTCTCCATATTTACCATGCTGCTAGGCTGAAGACCATATGCAGTGGGGGAGTGAAGCCGGGGACCTTCAAAAAGCTAAAACTGCTTAAAATAGAATCTTGTCCCCAGCTCAAAGAAGTTTCTCCCTCATCCAAATCACTGCCAAACCTGGAGATTCTTGAGATAAGCTCATGTCAACGCTTGGAAACTATATTCAGTGGCAGCTCAGCAGGTTCTTCATTGAAAAGATTACGACTGTGCAGCTTGCCTAGTCTAAGCAGCACTGTGTTCAAAGTACCACCTCAATGCCATGTTGACTTCAACTGCCCAAATCTGCAAATAGACCGATCTGGTTAAGTGAGAGGTAAGTTGAGACATGCGTAGAAATTGATTGATGTGATGCTCACGGATCAATGCATTTAGAATCTCATTCAGTTGGCAATTCCTCTCTCTCTCTCTCTCTCTCTCCATGGAATTTTATGTTGTCATCTCATCATTGTGTAATTCCTGGACTTATCCATTTTGCAGGCATTTCTTGGGTCATGAATCTGGGAAGATTCGTTGAACGCAAGCGAAATTTCACCTAAAATGTCTGGCAGCTTTTTTCTTCTGTAATGCATTAACATTCATGGTCATCGTGTATGGGAAGAGAAAACATTGGAGGCTTACTGGCTGCAATGTCCAACCGCACTTGCTCCAACTTAAGATGCATATGTTTCCTTGAGGGATGTGATGCAGCATAGAATTAGATACTTGATGTCAAGTGCGACTTAATTTTCCATATAAAGGAATCTGTGGAGCGTACACTATTCTATCATGTTTGGTTTCGGGTTCCTCATTTTGTATGGATACTTCCATATTTCTACTAATTCGAAGCCCAGGTAGATTGAGAACTTTGCAATGGTAGTGGTGTCATACAGTCATACTTCTCTGCCGGAACTCACCAATTTTAATTTGTTACATATTGAGGCTCTTAATTACATTTATGAACTGAATCCAGGTTTCAATAGAGATTATAGCTGATTTTGTTCATAAATACCAGGTTAAACATTACTTTGATGGGCTGCGTAATTTGTCGTTGTAGAACCAAGGATGCGCGTTACGTTAGATTTTAAGAGAGAATGTATTATCAATGAGGTATCACGCGAGAAAACCATGTGCTGAAGTATTGGGAAGATGCAACAATCTCCATTACTCTACTGTTATCAGAATCCTATATGTGAGAACTGCGGTTTTCCTCCCTAAAATGTTTCCATCATGATATTTATGGAGAAGCTCCCAAATGTGAGAGGATAAGTGCATATCGTCAAGTCATGAAGAAAGATGCTCTCATCACCATGCATTAAAAACGTGTCTTATATATTCATATATGACGATAATCACCGTGAAGTCGTCAATATGAAAAAGTTGTTGGATAATTCAGAAAAAGTTGCTGCTGAGTAACAAGCTCGAGTTTGCCAATATGAAATCTTTAACTCGTCAAAAAAGTAAATAATTAATTCCGTGCATGGTACTGTTCTAATTACTGAGTGGACTTTTGAACTATTTATTCCAGTGTATTTTGTGCAAGAATTGCTCTTTACTTGTGTTGTTCAAGGCCCCATGAGACATTTTCTTTCCCTTTGGAATTGGACCCTTCTCCTATAATAGGCAAATTTAGGCTGAAACTTTAGAAGAGCGCGAGGCTGGCGGCGCAGACACACTCGATGCACTCAATAGTGGTTCAATGTGTTGGAGCTATTTGAATATCGTTTCTTCATGAAATCACCTGAAAATACTTTCGTTAGATTCAATAGATACTATGAAAGGTTTTGTCAATTTTCAAAATATATTATGAAGTTTTCTCAACACAACGAAGACCTTATGTACAACCGATTAAATAATGGCTCATGCCTAAGAGCAGTGTTGCAAGTAATCCAATCGTGAGTGATTCAATTTGACTTCAATAGTCGCATCTTATGCCGCATTTCGATCATGACGAAGCGTGGAATTCCAAAACCAGGTTTTCATGACCCGCCGAAAGTTCTTTCATAAATGTGACCTTGCTTGATCTTTTGAACGTTCTTAAATAAAGATCTACTTATATGGAACATGTGTTGTTCTACGGATTTTAGTATGTGTTAGTGGTAATTTTGAATTGAACGGCCACATTGATTAGGAGATAATCTTACAATTTCATGGTGATTTCATTGCTAGTAAAAAAATGTTCTTTCTAAAGTCATCAAAAAAGTTGATGTGTTCTACTATTATCGATCGTTGGACTTGAGCAAGTACTTAAAAAACTTCATTTAGATCTCAGGATGTCGAAAATAAGAGAGTATTCTAGTCTCCCCCCGGAAGAAAAGACACAAGGGGAGGGACAATGGGTGTTGACACCTAAATTTTGGCGATCTAGTAAATTATTTATTGCATAGAACATTAGGGATCGACTTCGGTTCCTAAACAAAAATATTAGTTAAATTGCATCTGCATTAGTAGTTAGATGGTTAGACCGGCGGTAGATGGTTGTCAGCTTAATCGGACTAAGCCCGTGAGAGCCAAAATTGTGTGTGCCAAAATTGATTTGATCGAAATTTGAAACAATAATCTTTATATTATCAAGAAGCAATTGGTATAAATTCCCAATATATACATGCATGCTTAACTATTTGAGGGAACAAATATAAAGAAGAGCACTGTGTACGCGGCCACCAATTTGCATATGGAGAAGCCACGCTTGGAAGGAAAATTATGCATTGAGCCGTAAAATTGTGCAAAATTCGGTCAACATGGGGAGGGCAAGAAAATTGACCAGCATTGAATGAAGAGGAAAGAACTGATGCATGATCCTCTGGCCATATTCGCGCAATTTTGGCACATAAAGAAAGGGAAAAAGTAAAAGTGAATCTCATTTTATTGAAAGGGAATAGTAATATATTTTTTGCCTTGTTCAAAGTTTTATATCCTGGCCTATATAAAGAAGAGTGAGGACAAGCTTCAGAGGGGGAGGCCACACATATTGAACACTCGGCCACAAAGGCGAGGCAGAAAGAGAGGGAAAGAAAATTCCTTTTCTTCCTGCAGGTTTTGAAAGGAGGCCACACAATTCATACACGGCCATTCAAAGAAACCGGAAAAGTCGTGAGAGGTGAGAACAAAAGAGAGTAATGAGAGAAGAGGAGTACCCGCAGCCGGGCTCCTCTAAGCCGCGCTTCGCCGCCGCCTCGACTCCGACGCTGCTTTGCTGTGCTGACCCCCACGACACTTGTTGTTCCTCCCAATTGAGGCTTACTGCCGTGTGACCAAGCTCCGACGAGCCCCCACTCAACCGAGACGCTGACGGAGCTGCTGCCTTCCTCGCACTCGACTGCTGCTCAACTCGCTGCAGCCACAACAGACCGTGGTTTCTTCTTGCATCAATCACCCGAGCAGCTCCTGCATCCCCGACGATCCACGATCTGTTGCTTCTGCTATACCGCGAACAAGCACATCCTAGGGTCACTTGAACCACCGTTGCCATAATTCAGAATCATCGAAGACTCTTGCGAGTTCCATCTAGTTTGACGGTTTCGCCAAGTTCCAGCAAGGCCAATATCTCCCGACCAATGTCGATATCACGTCATGTTTTTTTTTTTTTTGGGTCACCGCTTGCAAGCCTGAAGTCTACGGTCAAAAAGTGTTGCCAGAATCTCGGTTAAATAATTTTAAGTGGTGGATTTGTCTTCTTTTGAATGTTGTCCAGATTTGATAATAACATTGTGGGCTATGTGATTTTATTTCCTGCAAGCATAAGAACAGTTGGCAAGGAGATCGTGAAGATTTTGGACGTGTGGCAACTATAGACATTGGGGAGAAGAATAGACATTACAGTCTCGCGTTACCAAAAAAAAGATTTTATTTCATTTAAAAGAAAATCCCAAAAAGAGATTAGATAATTTAAATTGATTGTTATAGATAGTTTGCATGTTTTAATTTATTCTAGAAAGATAGGATAATCTTCTAATTAAGTCCCCGAATCCATAATCTATGGTTCGTAGGATACTTTACTTGGGTTTCTAATCGATCCACACTAAACTGATTAGTGGCGACTCCTAATTGAAAATCATTTGCATGTTAAGAATTTAAACCATGAGTCGTGAATTGGTGTGGACTTGGAAGAGCCCGAGTTAGGTCTAGACTTAATAATCCATTAGTGGAACCTCTAGGTGGTGCACCGCGGAGGTTAGGTCGCGACAAGGGTGTGAGGGTAGACTTGCTGCCGGCTCTTTAAACAAGGCGTTGTAGCCCTCACAGATGAAAACACTCCTCCTTGGTGAGGTAAACCTTACTAAACACCAAGGATCCAAGGAGGCCCCCTCTTAAGGTAAGGTAATTTCTCTTTTTAAAGTCCAGCAGTTCAAAGATTTCGTGGTATTTCAAATTGGTGATTTGTAATCAATAACTCACTCGAAACTCTTTACAGTATGGTACCTGTTGAATTGCATATAATCATAATGCTCTACATTTATATTGGTACTGTCTAAAAAAGTAAAATCAACCTCTATAGATTTACTATAAGTTCTAAAACTTTTACCCAAAGTTTAATCAAGCATTGGAAACTTCATATAGTGCAATCTAAATCTAGAACTTATAAAAGAATAGTACAATCAAGTATATTTTTGGTGACTAGGTCGGTTTTGATAGATGGAAACTATGCATGCAATTATTGCGATATTCTCTCTCTCCTACAATATAACTCTGACGACACCTGGGAGGTAAGGATGTGTTATCAACTAGGTGGGCATGAGGCATCAAGTAGGTGTGCATGTCGTGCATGTCACCAAGATAGATGTGACGTCCCAGGCACGCCACTTACTAAAAGCGTTCTTAAATCTTTTCACTTATAGCGCAAGCGGAAGACAAAGCACCACCAAAATACCACATTTTCATTTCCCAAACCTTTATATTTGTATACAGAGGTAATTTGGATGATATCCTCTTCAAACACGATGGCAGAAATACACCTGGGAGGCCAAACTGGGATCCTACTCCCCTAAAGTAGTTACATCCACAACTCCACCCCACTACTTGCCGACACCACCTTGATCACTAGTGTCACTGTCAGGATAAGGGGTCGGTGGTATGTTCAAAGATCTGTAAAATGTGTCAACGATAAACAGTGAGCGAAAGCTCAGCAAGATAAGCTCTATCACACCATACTAAACAGATAATATCGTGCACCTCAACAGGGTCAAGTAGATAATCAACTAACCAATCCAGAATCAGCCACAACATACAAAGATTCCCTTTTTCATTTAGCGACTAATCACCAGGCAAAGAGATTTTCGATCAATGAACAGCCATTCGCACGAGTTCTCATTGTATATTTGTGACGGTGAT